GCACGAATAGTGAAAGCCAGAGCGGCTTATGCCAATCTGGGCCACCTTTGGCGCCTTCGTGATGTTAGTCTGGCTGTAAAAGGTCGGATCTACAACGCGTCGGTGAGAGCAGTTTTGCTCTATGCTTGTGAAACCTGGCCTCTCCGAGTTGAGGACGTTAGACGACTCTCTGTGTTCGATCATCGCTGTCTCCGAAGGATTGCTGACATCCAGTGGCAACACCATGTCAGTAATGCAGAGGTTCGGCATCGTGTGTTCGGGCACAGAGATGATAATCAATTGGTGTCACCATCTTGAAACACCGACTTCGGTGGCTTGGACATGTTCTACGAATGTCGTCCCAGAGAATCCCACTTCATGCATTATTTGCCGACTCTGAGACTGGTTGGAAAAGGTGGAGAGCTGGTCAGTGTATGACATGGTGTTGTGGTGTGAAAGAAAGCTGGCTACTGTTGGTCCTTCACGACTCCTTGGTTGGGGTCCGAGAGATGGTGCGACACAGTGGCTAGAGACGTGATCAGATATGGCTCAGAATAGAAGCCAGTGGCGATCCTGTTGTAACCTTCTTTTACTTTCTTCATAAAAAGTGGTTGTATCTCCCTTAACTGAGAGATTTCTTCTGATTGTACCTTTCCGTTCCCCCGTTTTTACCATTATTATTATTACACCACCTTACATCAATCTCTTCGTTATCATTCTCTTTTTTTTCCTTCGCCTTAAATTATCATTGTTTTGTGTGGCGCATTCTTGTACCAATATTTATGTGTTCAAAGAAATAAATAAATAATCAATGGATTAGAATAAATAGACTAAGTAGAAATTTGAAACTTTGGAAGTTATTTTCTGCGGAATCAGTATATGTATTTTTAGAGTGTATTCAGAAAAACAGCCGGTTTATGATATTTTATTGTTGTCCTAATCGTAAACTTTATTCAATTAATTAATTTGGACGGATCATATATACAACCTTAAAATCAAACTGTGAATCAGTAGAATGATTATAGTCGATTAGATGTCCATGTATGGAACTCCTAACTGCTTTCCTCTCACCCTTGTAGAATCACACCGAGACATGTTCCTGCATCCGAGTTGATGTAATCAAAAATCGTATAACGACAGCGACAAAAAGAACATTCTATGCGGCAAAACTGAAAATAACGTTCAGTAGTAAGAATGTGTTTTCTCTATCCACAAAAGATAGGCCTCCACGTCTAGTCGCATCCATATCCGTTTACCAGTTCACCTGCCCTTGAACATCTAGTCGACTGTAATCATTCTAATGATCCACAGTTTGATTTTAACGTTTTATATACGATTCGTTTAAATCTACCTGGATTTCTTCATATCCAATTAATTAATCTTCGCTTCATCTAATTGTAAACCTGTTTCGCGAATTTGCTCTTAGTGATGTAATATATTGAATTTTTTATGGTGAGTTGTGATCGTGTATTTTATGTCCACAATCACGTGGGTTTTGGAAAATACATAAAGAATACCGAATGACACAAAGAAATTGGCTGATCTTTTCAGTGTTCTGATCGGTAACTTGGGAAAGAGTGAGAATGTTTTGTAAGCTATCGATCGTTAGAGTATAGAATAATGGTGTCAACGCACTTAATGTTAGTGGGTGCAAGTGAAATTCAGTCAGTGTGATTCAAGATTTAAAATGTGTACTCAAAAAGATGGAGAAAATCACAAAAGTGAAAATTCACTTTGAGTTCAGTTTTCTGAAAGTGAATTCGAATGGATATATAATCCTGTAGTACTTGTACGAACTAATGATTCCTTTGGACTCGAATTCCCGGTGATTATGAATTCCAAATATAATACGTACATTTGTGTTTATCTATTTCTACCTGTCTCAAATTGCACTATTTCGGAATTCTTAGTGAGCACATTAATTCGAATACTTCTAACTATTATAAATCCTTTTCACTAAAAATAAATGTATGTACGCGACAATATTTACTAAAAAGAGAAATGAAGCTCTTAGCTACGTAACAGTTCGTCAAATTAACAAAATTTGTAAATATCTAGGAAGATTTTTTCCCGCTTCAATCCCACATTCAGGTTATATTTGAAAAAAAAGCACATTTTACTTCTATATTTGAAATGGATACTAACCTTGGTGTATCAGTTTATTTGGATACCATAGCTATTGGTTCTTCAACTCTAGAACTAATGGGCCGGTTGGACGTTGTGCTTAATAAAATATTGCAAGCTGGTTTTCAGTAACAAAAAGAAAAGTGTGAATTCCCGCTGGAGTCTGTTAGATAACTTGGATATATATTTGATAAGGATGGTTGTCGGCCAGATCCATGTAATATAAATGCTATCAAAAACATGCCCAAACCGACTGATGTTATAACGCTCTGTTCATTTTTTGGGATTGTTGGATATTATAGTATGTTCATACCTTACATGAACAAATTGCGACGCCCATTAAACCAACTTTTGATAGCTAAGCAACATGGTACTGAGCAAACGAATGTCAAAATTCTTTCGACGAAATAAAAAGAATTTTATCCTCTACACTGTTGCTGACCGATTACAATCCTAGGCTTGAAATAATTGTAGTCGCTAAAGAGCACTACTTAAAGCTGAAGGAGGAGGATGTAATTCAAGATTTTTGTTAACCTACTGAGCAACGCCAAACCCAGCAACAAATAATTAAGAAAGCCCAGCATAAACGATGTTTGAAAAGGATATTAGGATATTAATAGAACAAATGAAACCAAGACCTAAAACCAGCCTCTGCAGGAACAAACGAATGGAACGACGATTCAATAAGGAATACGGTGTATTTTCCAGAAAGTTCAGTGTGGGGCAAACGATAGTCACAAGAGATTTTTATGGAGTAAAGCCAACCTGGAAGATTGGAACAATAACCCGTATTAAAGGAAAAGTCATTTATGAAGTGAAAACTGGAGGGAAGATATGGGTACGATATGAAAACCAACTACGGCCGACCAGACAAGAGTGGGAAACTGAAAGTGATTTAAAGCCGGCTATACTATTAAACACATTAACTGGATTGGACAATTAAACTAAAAAGGATTCAAGTAGCAGGAGAAAGTGTACAACACCCCCAAGCGGTCGCACAGCATCCGACGAAAAATTAACTGAATAAGTCCTTATGGTCTTTATTATCCTTAATACTTCGAAAAAGAGGTGTTGCATCCGAAAATTAAATTATGGGTAACTTCCAAGAACTATTTGTAGACTTTTATTATATATATTCTCATTGTATAACTGTTAAGTGACTAAATTATATATATTTATATTTCTTTTATCATAAGCTTTCAACTTACCTATTGATTATTTCACACTTTACTATTCCTAAGTTATTCCCAATCCATTAGTTATGGTTCCTCACACTGACAGCCATTTTTGGCTCGGTCTTGTATAATTTTTACTTTTTATGGTATGATGCGATCTGGTTTGCTTGTATATAAACTACGTGTGTCTGAAATGAAATACAGTGGAGGTTGAGATTGTGTTCCGGACTCAATGGGTAGGGCTAGGCGATAAGTGACTATTTTGAGAAACAATACAAACTCAGAGTTGACGCAAGGCTGATAGTGCTGGTTGACATGTTATTGGTTTAACGCAGGAACACGGTCATGTAAGTCGGTATTGTGATTGGTAAATTTGTCACGTGATAATTGACAGGGGAAAAAGACTTAGCAGTGCGAATACCATTTAGAATTTCAGGTAGTTTTCTCCATCATCTGTGGATGAGGAAATAATGATTGGTTTACCTAGTCAGACTAGTAAACAGTCTGACAGGTATTAGATGCGTTATATACTTTCTTACCCTTTTTATTATTGCTGTTGGTTGGTAACATACTTAGGCTATGATCAGGCCAGTCACATGATCTTGATCCGAGTTGTGTCGAAGTTCTGTAGAATAGACACTAGGAGGGTTTCTAGTGTAAATATTCGTCTAAAGTAAATTAACGGCCCGTTTGTGTGAGAAAACCGAGCATTATTTCAGGAGTACAGTCTAACTATTCAATTTTAGTGTTTCTCCAACATTCAATCATCATTTATCATTTTGGGTAGCCCAGGAAATTTGGTTAGCATCCCCTATGCTCATAATCAGTTGGTGCAAGGACTAGGTAATCTTATTCAGAGCCCAACAGAAAGGGTTAATTTATCCATCTTTGTTTATATCTTCGTAGCTCATCTCCTTTCGCCGTATTTTCTTTAAAAACAACTACGAACTTTCGTGAATTGCAAAGAGATAGATGTAAGAAACGTTGAATATTGTTTTATCTGCAATTATTTTAAGATACTGACAGTTACATCACTAAACACGAGTAACATTTAATCCATGAACAGGAGTAATGAGTTAGCCAACCGAATAATCTATAACTGTATCATTACTTGATGCTTACAACTTTTCAAAGTATGAAGTGCAAGATAATCCTGAGAGAACAGCGTCATAAACCCATCAAACAATCTGTAACCAACTTTCTAAACTTGACTTTGAAGCTCCCCCACTTTTCATTGTATGTTTGTTCTGAACCATAAACAGTATACCATTGAGAATATCTTCAGTAGATGATGTAGGATCATAATTAAAGGTTAGTTTAGGACGCTTAACCACCACCTACACCAACTTACAATAGTCGCTAACATTGCATTAAGTCGAAAAAAGTTCGGGCGAACAAACTTAGGACATGGGATCAATTCATGACTGTCTCAGGAGATTGGGATTTCTAAGTTTACATCTTCAAGATAATCTATAGTGATAGACTCTTAGTGACATGAATCAAAGTTGGTTGCAGTGGAACATATTTTGCCAGTACGGGTCTCCCTCTGAATCTTAAGTTTTAATAATCACGCTTCCATTCAATTTATTCGAAATATATTCTTGCCATTGTTGATGACTTAATTGTAAATTGAGTTACTTGATATTTGTGCCAGACCCCAGGTTGATTACGACTGCATGACATTACTAGGTGTAAACACCAGTACAATAAAAAACAAGTATCTCTGTTTGAAAAATCAATTTACACTTTGTACATGATGCTGGTTAATTACAAAGTAGTTTAATGAAACAATCGGAAAATCGAGGATAGGTAAATGAAATATCGTAGTAACGAACGTATAAAAACTACTGATGCCGAGAAAATATTAGAGACATAACATAAACTACTTTTATGGAAATGCAGTAGCATAAAAGACATCTAAACAATAAGTGTCGAAATAATGTTTGAGAATGAAATATAAAAATCAACTGTACATTAAGAATACCTACTTAGAGCAATCAGGTTTGGTTATATGGTCCAGCTGCCAAAAGCAAATAAGGATGAACATAGTGCAGTCCGAGGACTGAGGTACGTCTAGTGAAAAACACTTCATTAGCACATGCATCAGAAACATCAGGACCAGTCGCTGAAGAATAATATCCTAAAACATTATGACCTCCGACTCCACTGCTTTTATTAATTTTAGAGTTTTGACGGACAAACTGCTGTTTAGTGAATCGATGTAACGCCAAAAGATTAGTTTTGGCGTTTTTGTCATCGTTATTACCAGTAGCTGGAGTAGTAACAGCAGTTGACCAACCACTAACTGTATTCCATATTCGTAGAGCTCCCTCTAGACCACCCGAAGCCAAACGTCCTGAATTACCCGGACAAAATGCGAGAGATACAACCGGACCAGTCAACCACTGACTTGAGTCTGAGTTAGCTTCCTGAGAGTCACAATCACTACTTGGCTGATTTACAGAAGTCCTAGATGCCGAATAACCTCCAAGCTGACCAACCTGTTGTCCAGACCCTAAGTCCCAAAGACATGTAGTACCACACCAACCTCCACTAGCCAGATAACGACCGCAAGGTGAAAACGCCAGACTCTGAACAGAACCCTGAAATATTGGAGAGAAAACAGTGAATATAGCATATTGTGTGGAAATGAGACCAACGAATATATTGTATTACTTTATTTACTTATTTATTTAATCACATAAACATTGGTGCAAGGAAGCACCAAATATATATGCGCCACACAAGTCATTTGATTTGTGTGAGCGTTGGGATACTGCCCTGGCTCTCAAACCGAAGCAAGTGGTTTTCTTAGGAGTGAACAACCTGGGCCTTTGACTTAGAGGTCTGGTCCACAAGGCAGTCGAGTAACGTAAGGTGATGCAGTCCCATGGTAGCCGGTAACCAACAACATGTTCATACGTTTTTTTCTCTCAGGATCCTGGAGCCCATGTGTACCATTGGTTTGGGATCAGGGTTTTCTAACTCTCCTAGGTGGACTCACCATGTCTACCAGCCCGGTTAAAGCGCCGGATATTCGCTTTTCATCCTCTCGATTTCATAATATTAATTTAAAGAAATCCTTGTGGGTAATGATAGACTGAAAATATTGTCAAAACTTGTTTATTTTCAACTTCTATTTTCCAATTATTCATACATATTGATATCGGAAGAGAGGTAAAGTATGAGAACTTACAATAAATAATTACTACCACATTTATACTTGGTATCATCCAGGAAACGGATCTCAGGAGCTCCTGGGGGAATGAGGTAATTAGGCCTTGAAATTTATGTTGAATAAAAGCATAAATGATGGTACTAAACTTTTGAGAGTGGGGAAAGACTTTTGAGTGAACTTTTGATGGAATGCTTCTAACGACTACACCAGATGATACCTAATCCTTATCGATTTTATTGAAGAAATCCTGTATTAAAATTACTCTACAAAATATGAGACCTGACAAAAATTAATGCCCATGTTTTCTAAACTAAAAATAGATGAGGCTGTAGTGATATTAAGCAAACATTCTGTGAAAGTTTAATCTTCCGAATGAGCAAGATGAAGACCACATTAAGTTCAATGAATATTTTGTGCATTTACTACTTGGAAAATTATTGTTTAATTGACAGGTATTGAATCCCAACTTGCCGATACAAAAATTCACACCTAAGGAAGAGTAACTTGAGTAGAACCACTACCTTTGAAAGTCAATTTGTGTGCCTCAGTTTCGGATTCGTACATTACTAAACTCTCGATATGTGAACACGCAACGACACGAAAACTGAGGTTAATCTGTAATTTAAATTCGCTTTTAGAGTTGTGTTCGTTAGTAAAGTTGATGATTATTAGTCAGTATCCTATGATACTGGAGATAACTTGATTGTAGTTTGAAACTTAATCAAAATCAACAATAAGATAGCTTAAGTTGTATAGAAGATTGATTCATCTTTGATTCTCTTTCATGTCTTAAACACTGAATCACTTCTTAAGTTTTATTCCAACCAAAATTCATTCAATTTTTCTCTTTTCTATCATTTAGCTCCCCCACTAGTATTAGTATCATTTGTATGCTTTATCCTTTTATATTTTCCTTAATAATTTCCCCCATACTACGCTGTTTATAGTGTGCCAACTTGAAGCCATAACTCGGTGGTTGAAAATTTGGAGCCATACAACTTAGTCAATTAGTCAAACCCAACGTAGAACCTGGTACATGTGTACATGGGTTCAAGTTGCTACACCCCATTACCACAGTAACGTCAAACTATTAGGCCAAATCCCATAGTAGTAGGGGTAGTAACAGGAATAATACTAACTAGGTAATCAATGCACAATTCGATAAAATACAAATTGGTATAACAGAAAAAAATTATAAAGAATTCAGAAACTTAGGATCTAGAGGAAGATAAGGAGTGGACGCAACTCCACCACTGCAAACAAATCTAAACCATGTCATTCAAAGTTTAAAACCAACGGTTACGATGGTCACGCGGACCCTAACCAAGTAGTTTGCACCTATCTACATGGTTCAGTTCAGTAGTTCGTGTCTTCATGGACTGATGCCATGTTTTAGTTTGACTGCCCCTAGGTTTCTTCCAACTTGCTCCTACAGTAGCCATCATCACGCGTTGATGTAGTCTGTGGCTGTGAATATGTAATATATGTCCCAATCACCTCAATAGATAGAGATCCACTATCTTGTCAGTTGATTCGCCATACTTACCTACTACTCTGCATTTAACGTCAGAATTTCTGGCTTGATGGTCCTAAAATATACCACTGATATATCGATATTTTACTGAACTGTAAACGTGATACAAACACATATCATTCCGTTTCTTCATTAACTCAGTTACCTGTTTATATATACTTAGATTAGTGCACACAAAGATAAACTCCTATGATTAAAAAACAAAAGATAATCTTCGAAAGTAGCCAGTAATAAATGTTTATTCAGAGGAAACCCGAATCCAACTGTTAATATGAACCACTTACCTTATGACCTGTATAGATCCTTGTTAGCTTTCCAGAACGAACATCAAATAAGCGTACAGCTCGATCAGCGCTGCCAGTTGCAAGATAATTAACATTTGGATGTATACACACTGACGTCACATCTCCTTTATGTCCAACAAAAACACGTAAAGCATCTGGTGCATGATCAGTTGCATACAAATGTGCACTACGATCAGCTCCTCCTGTCGCTATATAGTGACCATATGTGGGAGCCCAAGTAACACACCAAACAGGTAGAAGATGATCACGCCATGCAGTTAGAGCACCACCCCACATTAATGTGGACCATAATCGGACAGTGCCATCTGAGCTAGCCGAAGCAATGAGTTGTCGGTCAGGACTAAACGCAACACCGAACACACTGCCAAGATGACCCAGCAGATCCCGAGTTAGGTGGGTCTCACTAAAATAGTACACACAATTAAGATACATATAACTTTTATGCAATTTTTTGTAAAAGATAGACGATGGTTTTATTACGATAACTAGTTTGATGTCCAAACGAAACAAGATTTTATGTAATGAGGGTGCAATACGAAAGCGAGTAAAATTTGAGTGATTAAAAGGGGTACTTGGTGAATTTTTGTATACAGCAACAATTTACCTCAGGTGGAAATTCTAACTAACAATGCATATGAAAATGTTGGGGATCATACACAAGCCATTGTTTTATTTATTTATTTGAACACATAAATATTGGTACAAGGGGGCACCATATATATGCGCCACACAGATTAGTGTAAAGTACTGTAATGACAATAATGATAATACTAATATTATGGGGAAACGGAAAGGTACAACAAGAAGAATTCTTTCAGTTAAGGAAGATACCCTGCTTCGGTCTGGGCACACGGACAGTATCACAGCCCACACACAAATATGACGAACTGCCTATAATTATGGAAACGACTTTACTGGCTTCAACTAACAATCAAATGATTCAAATCATTATTATTATTATCATTATTTACCACATTATTCAACCTCTTTTATACTTATACAGCGGCTCGTCTTTGGTGGAAATTCGACTCTATCTAAACGTTCTCGAGTCACTGCCCGGTTGAAAATTGTATGTTACCACTGAATATGAGTACTGAAGCAGTTTTTCTGAAACCACGTGCACCATTCAAACTGGCTGCCTTCAACGTTCGCACACTTATGCAGGTTGGACAACAGATAGGGCTGGCTATGTCTTTGGAAAGTCTTAATATCGATGTCTGCTGTCTATCCGAGACCCGTATTCAAGACTCTGGCGAAGTACTACAAATTCGATCTCCATCTGTCGCTTCGAAAAGCTTGTTTTACGTGCGCTTATCCGGGGACCCTGTGGCATCTTCGTCTGGTCTTGCTGGCGTTGGTGTCGCACTAAGCGCTAGAGCTGAGGCAGCACTAGTCGATTGGATCCCCATTAACAGTCGGTTATGTGCTGTTAGATTAGAAAGTTCCATCAAAGTGAGAAGAAATCGGCGTGAGAAACGATGTCTTTTCGTCATCTCCGCCTATGCCCCGACAGATTGCAGCCCGGATGCAATCAAGGATGAGTTTTACCACCAGTTAAATGTTCTTCTCCAGAAAGTGCGTTCGACAGATATTGTAGTACTAGCCGGAGACTTGAATGCTCAGGTCGGGCGTCTAGGCACAGAAGAGAGTCGTTTAGGTGGCCGATGGGGACTTGTTGGTCGCAGGTCAGATAACGGGGACCGTCTACTGCAACTGTGCACAGACCACAACCTGTTTCTGGCTAGCACTAACTTTCGGCACAGTCATCGCCGATGTGCCACCTGGCGTCCTCCCTCTGCATCTCAAGCCTGGACTCAGATTGATCACATCGCGATCAGCTACCGCTGGCGTGGTTGTGTACAAGACTGCCGCTCCTTTTGGAGTACCTATCTGGACTCTGACCATGCCTTGGTCTGCGCCAATCTTACCTTACTTTTCAGTGGACAACGAAGTGACCGCCATCAACGGATTGATATTAGCAAGCTGGTTGCAACTTCTGTTGCAAGTAAGTATCGAACCGAGCTAGCCTCTAGGCTAGCTACCACTCCACCGAAAAGTATAGATGAGCATTGGTTGCAATTGCATGACGCCATGAAAATGGCGGGTACAGTCAGTTGTGGGTTCGCGAAACGTCCCGCATTTAAGCACTGGGTTTCTTCAGGTTCCTTACAACTCATTGAAGCCCGTCGGTCTACTCCGGGTGACCGTGAGTTTGACCACAAACGAAGGATGTTACGTAAGGAAATCGGGCAAAGCTTGCGTAAGGACCGAGAAGCCTGGTGGCTGGAGATTGCTAATGAGCTGGAAGCAGCAGCTGCATCTGGTAATTACCGGAAGCTCTTCCAACTCATCCGAGCCACTGGCAGCAAGAAGTCTGGTGTGAGTGAAACAATCTGCGAGGATGATGGGATGCCAATCACTAACATCCATCGACGTCTTGGACGATGGGCAGAATTTTTCGAAGGGCAGTTCAACTGGCCTGCTGCTCCGGCAACATCGGTCAGACTGTCCTGCCCTCCATGGCCGGTGACGACTGATCCACCAAATGAGGCGGAAGTCCGCAAGGAACTCCAACTCTTGAAGCGTTACAAATCACCTGGCCCAGATGACTTACCTCCGGCTCTTTTTAAAGATGGTGGTGACTTTCTGACTAAGGAATTGACGACGTTGTTTACAAAGGTTTGGGAACTAGAGAGTGTTCCAACGTCATGGAATGAGTCGATAGTTGTCCTTATCTTTAAAAAGGGTTCACGTCATTCCTGTAACAACTATCGGAGGATAAGTCTACTTTTGATTGCGTACAAGCTATTGGCTTTTTATATGTCGCCAGAGCGGTTTGCTAAGAATGAATAGTTACACATATCAGATTTATTCAGACAGTCTTTCAAAGTAACCATTTCAGCTCGTTAAAAAGAAATTATTGATTTAAATAACGAGGCCGATCGTCGGTATAAGAGCCAAAAACGTTGAGAAGTTACAAACTATAATTGACGTAAGCAAAATAAGAGTAAATAAATTAAGCTGCATATCTACTTTATTATTTCAACGGAGGTTATATTTTTAAAGCAACAGAAGGTGGAATCACACCATTTCATTTCCTATTCTCGAACCATATTCTCAAAGTTATCTCTTATTATCGGTGCTATTACAGTCATTTCAGCTCATCGGTATTCATCTTGTTAATTTCATCTCCATGTGTTGATTATGGTTACTCCAACTAATACACACTTGTGGTGGGTCCTATGCTGATTATGACTGACTAACTAGTGGAAGGTTTAGACCTACTAAAACTACACAGAATGATTCATTCAGTCAAGTGCAATGTACAATCGGTACGTATGTACATAGAATAGGATATTTGGCAGAAAAATAATGTAACAGATTTTCTGAAAATGGAACTACTTAAGAAAATTTCGGGAAACGACGAACAGCAAATAAACACTCAAAAATGACTTACTCATTTTCGTCATATAACATATTAGTTTTTACTCTACAGTCATCTTTATCCAGTAAGCTCAACTCTGAAGCCGGGAGCATACGCCTTAATGATTCGGGGCCTAAAGACCAAACACGGATACGACCTGATCCGAATCCAGCAGCTAGTTGTGATGAGTCATCACTGAAACTGCAACACGTAACACCACCTCTTCGAATAGCTAGGGTTGACTCACCAGCCTGAGCATTGCATATTGTATAAAGGACTGTGCTTGTACCGATTGATGACTTTTGTGGATTTCGCTGTTGATAATTACGTAGAAGAGTAGATATCTCTCGTGAAAGAGCTTGTTTGCTTTCAATGTATGACTCGCGCAGCTTGAAAATTATAAATGTACAACAGCTAGAACATAGAAGTATTAATGGTTGCAAACCACAGTATACAGTTATTGACAATCAACTTACCTTCATACATAGAATTTACAGAGAAAAAGCTCTTTTACGGTGCTAATCATGACCATAAATTCTTCGCTTAGAGTATGAAATGCGATTACTCAATAATCCTACTTGTAGGATGAGCGGGTCGGAAACAAGTAAACCACCATCACTCATGGTAGTTGCGGACTTTTTGTTAATCTACATCCAAATTTAGTTTGAATTATTGTTTCGAAATAATTTTTAGAAAATACAGCCTTTAAAATACACGGTCAATGAAAGTACTGAGTATGAATAAGCGACATAAGTCCACACATGAAAAACATCTATCATTGAACAAACGTACACAGAACTTAAGTATCAACAGGCTTTCGGGACAGAGCAAACTAAATGTGATTTAGGCAACTAAACTGATGCTAACTTTAGAAATCTCGGTATCCCAAATACAAATCTCTTCCAAAACAAATTGATGACAATCGATTACAAAACAAGCAACAAGTAAATAGAAACTACCTTAGGCAAGGGAATTCGATCAAGAGCTGGAGAGTTGGAGTCAGATTTGCTAACATCTTTCGAAAGAGATGGTCTACCGGGATGTCCAGAACCTGACGTCATACCATCCCTCCGTTTTTTCTTTTTCGCAACACTCTGATCCCCGTTATCTAAAAAAGACAACCAGGAACATACATATCACTTTGGGCAACATTTTAATCACTATTAGAGTGAAATAATTACAATATTATGTCATTAGTCCTCTGGATACTAGAAAATATTTGCAATAAAAGTGGGTATGCAATCGCATTTAAACACAAATTGCCAACTTTAGTGCTTGTTTAGCAGGTATAAATTATATCCTTACAGGAATACGTTATTACAAAATATTGCAATTTCAGTATATGAATGTAATTTTCTGTGAGGGGTTTCAGGAGCAAATTACCTTCGTTATTATCTACATTGCTCCCATCAATGTCATTGAAGCTAGGATCAGTATCCATTTCGACTGGTAAGTCTAATGTAGGATCTCTTAGAAGACCATACAAAACAGGTTCTTTGTTAGCGTCAAAGTGAGCCTCGCCAAATAAAGCACCACGACGGCAATCGACTTGGAGCTTTGACCTAGGAGGGCCATTGACGACTAGAGATTTGAGACATGTAGTGCATCCTTACTTTCAAGCGACAACTGTTCCTTTAAAATACTTTGAATGACATTCATTTCTTTATCTTGAAGAAACTGACGCAGAAGCGAATAAGACTCGGCCGAAACACTGACAACAAACTCGGAAGCTCTAAACGATTCAATCAAAGGATTCATTGACAAGTGTTGTGAATTAGTAATGTTCGATAGCATATTAATATCTGACTGGTAAAAATCTTCTTGATATTTCCTGAAGGTTATGAGGAACCTTTTGGCTGTCTTCATAAGAAAACGAATAAAATTACCCTCTCCACAAATGTTTCCACTGACTAGACGGAGATACATATGGACAAAAATAGGGAAGAGTAACGTAGACAACTCCACCTGAAGGTACGCAACCCGTTAGAACTAAGTAGTCTTTTTACTTTATGCACATCAGGAACCGAATCCATAAATGTGAGAATAGACTGGTAGTTAGCGCAAAAGTTCTCTGGTTCATCCTTTACTTGACTGAAGGATCGTAACAAAAAGTAGAAGGAACTGACGCTTTAAATTTCAGAAATTCCTCGGCAATTTTTTCATTAATGAGACCAGCTTCTTGTTTTAAAGCATGCTCCGATTCCTTTAAAAACAATACTAAAGTCCAAAGGCTTCTACTTTTAAATTGTACTTCTGGAGGATCTTCAAAGCACTTAGGATTTCCTCATTCGAGCCCATTGCCTTCTGTGTTCCGATGATACCAAAAGAGGCGGCGACATTAATGAATATCCAATGGTAATCTGATGTACTTACAGATGATATTAAAATGGAGGTTGTGGTAATTATTGTAGACGTGTATTATTTATACGAGCGCATAATGAATTTTAAATTACGCAAGATGAGGTCAAGCATGTGACTACTAAGTATATTAATTCTGTACTATTTCCACTTAAGTCCTCTTCCACGTCCATTCGTTCGCAATACAAAGTGACTCTATCTACTGTTACTGCTTATTTCGGTCTAGTTAATTATTTAGACACACGGCAATATTACGTTCTTTCTGAATTCACTCATTATCGAGCACCTTAATTACCAACACAAACACTGTAAATATATTCAGCCCTTCTATTATTATGTTGTGGTTAAAAGTCGGATGAATCGCACTAATCAATCTAATGTCCACTGACATTAGTTTGGTGTTTTGGATAATCCATTATTCATGATTCAGAAGCAGTACTGTGATGTGTGTTGTTGATGTCAAAAGATATAAGTGGTATGTATCGCCAATCGAAAGTGGGATACCTGTAGGAAGAAGGTTGGGAAAATCGAAGAGAGAAAAATGAGAACAGGGAGTGGTTGATAAAGGGATGAAGAAACGATAAAGTCTGAGATAATTTATGGATATTTTTCAAATATATTATTCATTGTGTGGTCCTCAGATCTTATCAAGAAATTTTTTAATGTTGTATTGAAATACATTTGGTTGTCCCCGTCTGTGTTCTCTTTTACCACAGTGCCACATCAGTTCTCTCTCGTAGTCTTAAAGCATTTTATCAATATATATTTTGCCACTCGAAAGAAGATAGACCGAAAATGCAGGGATTCAAAATATGTGGAGGATGAGTAAATTGATAGAATTAAGACAAGTACATGCATGCCCCTTTATCATTTGAAGAGGGATTGAGAACATTGTACTCATATCTTCAAAACCAAGACATAAAGGACAAATTTTCAAGTCAACAAAATTCATTGGGTTGTTTGTTCATATCCCCGATGGCCATGCTAACGCGGTTTGTGGATGATAATCCCAAAACGTCCGTACGCCATATTTTGTCATACTTCATGACCCCTGGATTTGCAACCATTTCACTTTACTTAGCTTTTCTTTTAGAAGATTACTTCAGAAGAGCAGGTTTTAAAGGTGCATACGAAGTTTTAACTATTTTTCTAATCTTCAGACGCATAAACTTCACGGTTTCTTTCCTCATCCATAAACAAAAAAGAGCTCGCGAAACTGTATGACATAGCGATTCAAGGGCATTTTCATGGTGTGAGAAACAAAATACAAAAGCGTCATTGAGGAGAACAAGAACATTTGTGTTATAACTTGAAAAAGCTGATTTATCTTGATACAACCGCGTATAACTGAGCACTAGAATACCAAACCCTTCCAAGTCGCAATAAGAAGACAGAAGACTAACGAAAGGAATATTATTCCAAACAGTGTCAAACATAGTACAAAATTATCAGGTATTTATAGTTTTTAGTGAGAACGAAATCACCATTACAGTCTTTCAATCCGCGTACAGGGGTTATCAGCATTATCCAATGGGGAAGTTACATGTTGGAATTCTAGAACATTCTTCCGACAGGTGATTGGATGGAACATCTTCGGCTCCTTCTGAGCCTCTTACAGCTTCCTCGAGTTCACCGGTGGTCCGTCGTCACAATTTGTGCTTCTTTAAAGTTTTAAACCATTCACTGCTGTCCTAAAGGTGCAATTTTTAGTATTAACTGACATGACCGTAAGTAACACTTCAGGTAGACAGTTATTTACCAAACTATGGAAGTCAGATATCGTTGCAATTTTTTATGTTAATTAAATTTCAAAATCCTTAGGGAGAATACTTTGCTTCGCAATAGTCAAACTGCAGTTTAAGAAAGGCATTACTCTTGAAACGTTTTCTATGTTTTGTGCTGTCAATTTAGTCTTCTTGTGATTGTTATGTTAATAAAGGTGAATATAGGAGACAACTGAGGTTAGATGAAAAGTGGATTTAAAAAGTAGACGATTTGAGGTGTATTTAGGTGTAAAATAGACAAGAGGAAATTCAGAATTATCTTTCGCGTTTACCCATTATTTTCTTTTTATTTTATAACTAACTTTCATCTTCATTTCCCCTTTTATTGGTTGCTCGGGTGAACCATAGAAACGTTTTTCTTTTTAAATTGGCATTTCACCGTCCTATTAGATGACTTCTCGTGAATATGTAAACCTCGAAGTAACAACAATGGGAAGTGATTTGAAATTAGTATCGATAAGAGACACTTAATTTGTTGCTGTTCGAGCAAAGTTGGTGACTATTAAGTGGTTTTAGTGGCCCAAAATCTGATTTCATTTGGATCGTTTCCGACTGTTATTGAAATATACATGTCGCCAATCAACGTATATAATTACTGACTTAAATCACGTTATTGAACGACGAAATTAAATAAGCCATATACGAGAATGACTTCCCAGTCTACGTAGCTCGTACAAGTGTTGATCTGAACAGACGATCGGAGGATCACAGAGAAGGAAGTAACAAGGAGAGAGTGAGGCGAGACTAAATGACCTGCGGTGGAGCGAACGTGATGTAGTCAAGCGTTGCATGATTTTTATTGTTAGATAAAAAGAAGTTACAGACATGTGATGAGTAAGACGGAAAATGAATACACATGCGCTTGCATGAAGGCAGTCATGACTGGTGAGCGAATAATTAACAAGGTCAGAATGTAGCTTGGGGAGATAATTTTCAAATAACCCAGCCGAAAAATATCTTTACATATCTGTAGAAAGTATTTCATGCCTTAATGTAACCCTCGTGCTATTGATAGAAGAAACCAAACAAGTAGAGAATAGGTCTTTATTTCGATCTTCGCGCAGCATCTCAATATTCAATATAATATAATGGGGAATATAACGCTTATACAAAATAAAGAAGTGAATAAATACTTGAACAATACTGTTTTGGCATATGCTTGGTTGTTTGGGGTCAATTCTTAACCAACCAACCTAAGCTGTTACATTAGCTTCCCCCTAGAATCGACTTCCGTAGGAACGTCGGTTCGATTAACCTATCAATCGAAAACACCTTAGTTCTATTTCTCATCCCAAGGGAAAATTACCAACTCGCTCGCTGTTTGACTTACCATCAGTGACGACTAACGCTGTCAGCTGTCAACGACAGTCCATGGATGTCTCTTCATTTACTAGCTTGTCATCTTATTTTGTAGCATGTGATTTCTTCTACAACTATCGCTGACGGTTTGCTGCGTGCTTTCAAGAGAAAGAGTGTGAGAATGTGGAATAAGAATATCTGAGGAAGTGCCGCGAGCGGGCTACCCAACACCATGTTGGTGAGGTACGATTTTTCCATCCTCAGACCGGCTATCAGGTGTTTACTCACCTGCCTCTTGAGTCGCCCTCAAGTAAAAAGTAAAGAAGAATCTACTTCAAAGGTAATGGTGGAAACCAATCAAACCTGAAGAACTGCTCCACTGCCTGCATAAAACTAATAAGATACAAAATGGAAATGCATAAATATGATTGATAATTGTTCGGTTCCACGCAAGTGATTGGCCTCCAGAAAGGATTGGTATTCTGGAAGGAAATGGACATAGTGTGGCCATCTGGGTCGCTTTTTGAATTCGTTGTATTTGCCAGTGTTAGTTGTGGTGGGTTTGATTAAAATCCTCAGCCATCGTTTCGGAATACCTAGCTTATGTGTCCAGTATTTAAAAAAATATTTAACATAACACTTATATATCAAAGGTAAAAGGTCTGGGGAGTTGTAGGTGAAGCGGAATGAGGAAAAAAAATATTTTTAAGTAGATGCAGGGTCTGATTAGCTACGTGGTTAGATTTTACACTGCAGCCGAAACTGTCAACATCCTTGACTGACTAATTGGATGTGCCCAGCGAACCGTTATAGTCATTTGTAAAGATTTATCAACTACAGAGGCATTACACTACTGTCAGTACCAGGGAAAGTCTTCAACAGAGTGTTGCTGAACCGGATCAAGGATGCACTAGACGCCCAACTTCGAGATCAACAAGCTGGATTCCGTAAGGATCGGTAGTGCACAGACCGAATTGCGACACTACGGATCATCGTCGAACAATCAGTTGAGTGGAACTCATCACTATACATCAACTTCATTGATTATGAAAAGACATTTGACAGTGTGGATAGGAGAACATTATGGAAACTACTTCGACACTACGGAGTTCCTCAGAAGATTGTCAATATTATCCGAAACTCATACGACGGACTACAGTGCAAAGTAGTGCATGAAGGACAGCTGACAGATGCATTCCAAGTAAGGACTGGAGTAAGACAAGGCTGTTTACTCTCTCCCTTCCTCTCTCTTCTGGTGGTCGACTGGATTATGAAGACCTCGACATCTGAAGGAAAACACGGAATACAATAGACAGCTCAAAATCAATTAGACGATTTGGACTTCGCAGATGACCTAGCCCTCCTATCACGTACACACGAACAGATGCAGATGAAGACGGTCAGTGTAGCAGCAGTCTCTGCATCAGTAGGCCTCAGTATACACAACGGGAAAACCAAAGTCCTCAGATTCAAAGCGGAGAACAGCAATCCAATCACTCTTGATGGCAAAACTCTGGAAGATGTAGAGTCCTTCACATACCTGGGAAGCATAATCGATGAACAAGGAGGTTCAGATGCAGACGTAAATGCGAGGATTGTCAAAGCAAGAGTCGCATTCCTACAATTGAAGAACATTTAGAACTCGAAACGACTGTCAACTAATATCAAAGTGAGAATCTTCAATGCGAAAGTCAAGGCGTTTCTACTGTACGGAGTTGAAACTTGGAGAACTATAGCAGCCATCATCAAGAAGCTGCAAGTATTTATGAATAGCTGTCTACGCAAGATACTCAACATCCACTGGCCGGATGCCATCAGCAACAGCCTTTTGTGGGAGAGAACAAACCAGCTTCCAGCTGAAGAAGAAATTAGGAAAAGACGATGGAAATGGATAGGATATACATTACGCAAATCGTCAAACTGCATCACGAGACAAGCCCTAACTTGGAATCCTGAAGGGAAGTGAAAAAGAGGAAGGCCAAAGAACACATTGCGTCGGATAATAGAAGCAGATATGAAAAC